CATGGGTTTGCTGACTGCGGAGGAAGATTTTATCATGTGACTTACTTATCTGATTCATCAGATCAGCTTGCCGTAACTGATCAAATGTTCACTTTGTCTGGTTTTGTTGCAGTCTGCCCCATTTTATTATTCATGCGATGAAACAGAGTAAACGATGTCAGAAGTGAGTGTTATTCTTTCTTTTCTTGTTTGCGCTTTTTTGATATTAGTATTCTAATTCATCCACGTTCCCTATTAATACGAAATGATATTCTATTACTTATACTATCGCTCATTTACATTCAGAAAGAGTAAGAGACGTGATTTATTATTCATGTAATGAAACAGAGTAACGATGTCAGAAGTAAGTGTTATTTTTTTTTTGTTTGCAATTATAATTAGTATTCATCTACGTTTCCTATTAATACGAAATGATATTCTTATTCTATTACTATTGCTTATTCAAGAAGAGATGTGATTGTATTCATGTGATGAAACAGATGTCAGACGTGAGTGTTCTTTATATTTATCATATATTTGAGTGTATTATCGTTTAAATTTACCAGAATTAAAGTCAACTTATGTTAAATTTATTAATATGGTAAAATTTAAATACAAATTTATTAAATTTGACCAGAAATTATAATAATAAATAATAAGTAACCTTCCAAAATTTACAATGAGAAATAAAGCAAAAGTAACACATAATTAGTTCCACCAATGATAATTCTGGCAAAATTCTGCCAAGAGCTGAATCTTTGTTGTACTGGAATTAAGGTGAAATATTGGCAAATTATGTCAAAGTTCATTTAAATTATTAAGAATTAGGCCATAATTCACTGGCCGTTCTCCATAATTTATGACTACATTCACCTCTAATTTATCTCATAAATCCTATTTAAATAAACTGGCACTCGTCTACAAATCAGCTTTCTGATTTATAAATCAGTGGCAGCGATTGGTGCCAAACCATACTAAATCAGAAATTTTCTGAATTGTGACTGAGTATGAGGCAACTGAAATCTTGCTGATGTTTACCAATCAGAACTAAATCGGATGTTGAATTGAAGCTTAGTTTATCTGACTCTGACCAGTGCTAGTTTTAATTTTTAATTTTTACCCTTTTTTGCAATACTAATACATGTAACAAAGTTTACGGGCGAATGAATTTCTGTTGTTACCGGACAACTTTTTCTATAATTGAATTTTTTTAGAGTATTTATCGTCTTCTTAAGACTTGGTATAGTCCGGTGCAATAATGTAGATACCTCAGTTTTTTTCGTAGAATTTATTAAAAGTTGACGAATTCAACATCATCCTCTAAAGAAAGTTATTGTCTATTTCACAGTCATTATCTATTTCATCATCAACTAAAAAAGAATTATCATCAGAATTTACATAATCTTTTGCTATCCTCCATAATCCAGTAATAACCTGTGAGTTTACCTTCTCTTTAAAAGAATAAAGAAGTTTATTCATAATAGCCAATAGATTTGGATGTAGACCAGACCTTGCAACTTCACCTTTTACCACAGCCCAAACACCTTCAATTGGTTGAAGTTCACAGTGGTAAGGAGGTGTAAAAAAACACCATGAATATCTGTTTAGCTATTTCTCCCGTAGATAGGGGTCGTCCTGTTTTATTTGATTCTACGATTATTTCACGAATAAGCACGGTGATATTAGAATCTGGTCGAACCTCCGGTCGGCCAAGGATCTTATACGGTGTAAAAGATCCGTCATTACATTTGCTCCAATCTTGAATAATCCGCCCAACAGTACCTTCTGAAATGCCCAATACCACAGCAATACGCTTGCGTAGTAGTAGTGTGGGCTTCTGATTACGTTTATTGACGGAGGTAGAATCAGAAAAATATTTATAATCACTAACGATCTTTTTTTCATTCCCGTCAAGGGCGAACAGCGTTGCCTATCAATTGCTGGAAACACCGTAGATGGATCAAAGTATGCAGAATGATAGATACAGTATTACTTTATTACATCAAAACTTTTGCTAGTAGCGATTAAAACCTCTTATATTGAGCATTTATGCACCGGACCATATTCAGTTTTATTTTTAATTTTTTTAAAAAAAAAAGAAAAAAATTTTTTTTCGTTGAAGCTCGATAGCTGACAAAATAGAATGGCGTATAAGTATAACTTTTATTACCATTGCCGTCGCGTATCATAATGTGACGATATACTGTCAGTTCCAATGATTTTATCAATTTTCCGAATGGATAAAATATCTATTAAGTTTCTATAATGCGTAAATTGCTCATACGATGAGTCGGCAAATCACATAGTATTTGACACCAATGCAGTCTGACGCAATTATAACGTATAAAATTTCTTTTGAGTAGCTCGTTAATATGGATAAAATGCTGGAAGCTGACCTTGTCAGTAACAAACAACTGACAAATTGCAGAAGGAAAACAGCATCACAACTAAAGCGTGTCAACCGAGTTCAAATGAACCACGTTTTGAAGGGGGTTGCACAATTGCTTTGTGGTAGAACTTTATTCTGCAGACAGCTGACTTTAAGGGGGGTTGTCAAAGCTATGTGGCACAAACCTCGATCATCTAGTAAAATGCCGGCGTGTAATTGAATGAAAAACGCACTACAATTTGCCAATAGAAGTGGTATCCAACTAGTTGAGACGCACATGACACGGAGCGAGTCAGGCGGTTTTGTCTATCTGCAGGGGAAGTCCGAAAGGTATGCTAAACGTCGATATCACAATGGTACGAAGCTAGTATTTATATATTCAGAAATTTGAAGATCCTTGCGAGTTTCGAAAGTAAGTACACACTATCTAATGTAACTGAAGAGTTGGTGATAACAGACATTGGTAACTTTTCCTTTGTCAGCTTCAAGATCTGAAGGTGTTGGATGCGCCCTCTTTGTGAGGACGTTAATTAGGCTGAGATTGCGAAGTTGTTATTATGGATGGCGGGTTCAATAAATAAATAATCAAAATTTATTGTTACCACTTTGTACTAATTATACAGCAACGTTGCTCAGATAAACGCTTTGAATTAAAGCACTACTATTCGAGTATTTGTAAAGTGAAAAGGAAAATCAGGAATTATTCTTTTGAATAATTTCGTGAAACCATAATAATTTTTTATGATAATATTTATACTGGTCACGTTCGACAATCTTTGGTATCGATACGTCACATCTAAATCAGGTGTGGGGTCCCGTACAATCTATTTGTTTACTAGAACCCCCGGCCCCCCTTTTATCCAGTTCTATTTCGTCCAAGTATTTTCTCGTCGACAAGTGTAGATACTATCAGGCGCTTGCTATTAACGCCTGCGGAACTTTTTCCAAGTGTTACTCTAGCGTACGATCTTCAAGTGAACCAACAAGTTAACGAAAAGTGGTAAGTTTGCAAGTTGGTAAGTTGTAAAAATCTGAACTGTGTGGACGCGTTTTCAGTTTTCTAGCGAGAATGTTACTTGTTTTTTGTCATCTACACTTACTTATCTCTAGTCTGACACAGAGCAAAGATGAGTACAAGCTTATTCCTTGAAACACTTCGAAGGAACGATCTCGAAATGTATTATGGAAGGTACGTCTTGTATTCAGCTATATTTACATTCTTTCAACTCAAAAGAGACTTCTTTAATGCTAATCTTCGCATCGCGTTTATTCACTGCTCGGATAATCCGATCGCCCTCAGTTTATCAGCAGCAGGAATCCACGATTTACAGAGCCTAGCACGAGTACGTGAAGGGAACATAGTTGCTCGTTACTATTCCATAATGTTCATGCTTACCCATATGTGCAACTATTTCATCCACACAGCTTCCTCTAACAGATTATACACTTGTTGGCGTCAACGCAGTAGATGACCGGAAACGTCTATTTAATCTTGCCCAACAAATAAAAGCTGACTTACTCAATGAATCACCTACAAATTCATACAGCAATAATTCATCTAATGCCGCTCGACAGGACTTTCAATTTCCCGCACGAACTTACGGTACATCGGTTCCGACGTCTGTGGAGCAACCATCTCAAGACAGCTCTAGCAGTGGCTCCATTCCTGGTCGGCGCTTCTCACCATCATCTATCGGTCGGGGTCGTACCACGCTTGCTACTCGCACACGAATACCATCACCTTTCATAAATGCTAGCCGATCACAGCAACAAGCGCAATTATCTCAGCATCAACAATTATTAGAAGCTCAGTTGGCGGCCGAAGAAGAAGAGGACGAATCGGTGCAGATAAAGGCCGGGCAGGCACCCCGGTTGAATGCTTATGGTGTGCCAAGTAGGCATCCATCAAGGAGTAACTCGTACTCTGTTCCGAAATATGCTAACGCACCCAGTAATTTGAATGACAAAATAAGAGTTTGCGTCCGAAAAAGGCCTTTAAATAAAAAGGAATTAGCCAGAAATGAAAAGGATATAGCGATTATATCTGGTGGTAGAACTCTACAAGTCTATGAACCAAAGTTCGTAGGTTTCCGATCATATGTTTGATGTTATTCTTTTCTGATGCTAAGATGCCTGCATTGTTTAACAATTATGCTTTGATTTCCAACATCTACTTTACATACATCTCCGAAATTTTATAATCCGATTCACTTATTTCACTTTCGATTCTATAGAACGAAGGTCGACTTGACTAAATATGTCGAACAGCACACGTTCGTATTCGACGATGTATTCGAAGTAGATGCTGATAACGATGAAGTACGCTCATGGATTTATATAGTATTCTGTCACTTACGGTGAATCCTCAGAACAACTCATAGCTCGCTCAACTTATGGTACTGCGGCTAAACATCTAGGTGTATAAGCGAACGGCATTACCATTGGTGGAATATATCTTCAAGGGAGGAAAAGCGACGTGCTTTGCATAGTATGTGTCTCATTACAATCATAAATCTAGTCAATTTTTGATTCAATATTATAGCCTAGAATAAGCTAAATGTGTTTTTCTTTCATCTCGTTTATTTATTGGTAAACAAGTGGCCAAACAGGTGATTAAGACGTTCAAGTTTTCTGTTTTTTGTTGAAAAGGTTCTAAAAAGAGGCTAACGATAAGGAATTGACGTTCGACTTTTCCCCTACGGCCTATATAGGAAGTGGCAAGACTTATACTATGCTTGACGAGAAGAAGGGTATGAGTGATTGAAAATACAGCTATCCATTCAAAGATTTGTTGATGATGTTTTTCAATGAATCACTTTTTTTTTCGCCTGTCAAGGACTATATGTGCTGGCTGCCCAAGATATATTCAATTGCCTTCAGAGGCCAGAGTATAATCATTTGGTAGCATGGATAGGCTTTTATGAAATATACCAAGGACATCTGTATGATCTCTTGAATAAGAGAAAAAAGCTTTATGCTCGTGAAGATGGGAAGAAGAATGTAGTGATAGTTGGATTACAAGAGTATCCTATTGACACTGTCGAGAACTTAATGGCAGTCTTCGATTATGGAAATACTGTTCGTAGTACTGGTATGTCACAAGCTAGTCCTGGGATATAGCTCTTCGTATATATGGTGCACTAAATGATTCCCATTGTTAACAGGAAGTACGGGTGCCAATGAGGATTCTTCGCGTTCTCACGCTATCTTACAAATAGTATTGAAACATAGGAAGAATAGAAAGAAGTTTCATGGTATGGGAAAGCTTTTCGACCTATACTATTTGGTCTTTCGGGAAGTGCATTCTTTATTGAAATGTACTCTGTGATTGCAGGTAAACTTAGTTTTATAGATTTGGCTGGCAGTGAACGTGGTGCGGACAGAGGTGAAGCTGATCAAAAAACGAGGTGCGTATGTATTATTTTATGCCGATACGGTACTCAATTGTCTAACAATTACCATTCAACAGAATGGAGGGGGCCGAAATCAATAAGAGTTTATTGGCGCTGAAAGAATGCATCCGAGCATTAGACCAAGACAAGAGACACACTCCTTTCCGTCAGAGCAAGCTCACCCAGGTACAAACTAAGCCAATAGAAATATTATATCTTAGACGATTTTCATTTAGTACGATGCAGTTTTTAGATATCGGGATAATTTGAATTTTGTTAATCATCTACTATTAGGTTCTTAAAGACTCGTTTGTTGGCAATTCACGGACTTGCATGATTGCAACAGTATCCCCAAACATTTCAAACAGTGAACATACGCTTAATACTCTGAGATATGCAGACAGGTAAAAGATAAATTGTACAAGACAGCTTGACAGAAGAATAGGTGCCATGCTGCACTTTTTTCCATATTGAAAACATATATGCGTAAATTGGGTCTCATCCCGTATATGACGCATTGATTACTCCAACAATTTATTGTAACGTGTAAAGGCTAACAGCACTATGGCTTATATTCTTCACCAACCAAATTAAATATCTAAAGAGTGAAGGAGCTCAAATCTGAGAGAGATCGTGCGGAACGTGCTGCCGCTGGACTTGACGAATTCGCAGGCGATTCCTATACCGAAGGTTACTTGCAAAATGAAGAAAATCGTCCTGAATACAACAGCAGCGAAGAGCAGTTGGCAGAAAGTAGCTATGAAGGCTACGGTGATGAAGATGATGATTATGGTAATTTTGATGAAGATGACTCTGATACGTTTGAAGACGGCTTTGGTAGCGATGAGGACGATGATCTCCTCGGACAAGAAATGCCAGCGGATGGGCTTGTGGATGAAGATTTTCCTCAATACGTCAGTAACCTGGAAATAGATTCATTTGAACATGAACAAGAGTCGCTAGAGAAGATGATGCCAGATCTTTCTCTGAACGAAGGGCATAATTATTCCAGAAATAGCATACATGCTTCGCATGGCAGATCATTGTCAATGTATTCAAGCTCCCCAGACGTTCGACAGTCAGATGTATACTCAACACACTTAAATAATAACCATTCATCAGTAGAAATTTACAGCCCAACGGAAATTGACGACTTTGTCAAACGCCATAGACATCAACTACGAGAAATCAGTGAATACAGCCGCAAAGAAACTCAACTTTTAGCTGACTTCACCCTAAGTTTCAATGCCAACAAGGACATGGGAGCAACAGCTGCTGAATCAGTTAAACCCTTTGAAGACTATATGGAAAAGTTAGATAATTATCTTGAAAATAAGGCTGAAATTGTTCAGGAGCTCAGACGTACAATCAGTCAGTTGCTGAGACGATGAAATATACAAATTCCAAGAGGTTGCCTGCAAGAGTAATTTGTTCTGTATGTTCAACTTCACCAATAAGAGCCCAGACCAGTACTGAGGAACAAGAAATGGAAACAGCATTTAATATGTTGAGATCATATGTAGTTGCTGAGTTCAAACCTGTTCCTTCTTGGGAATTCTCTGCGGTTCTTCTCTATGGTATAAAGACACAAGAACACAAGTTGCATAACAACCCTGGGGATTATGATTGTCTAAGAGTGACAATATCCTACAGTAGCAATTATGTATTTTGTCACTTTTTTTTTCAGTTTCAAATATGACATTCTATTACTCTTCTATTCCGTGCCTTTACTAGAAATATGTAGTAGTAGTGTAGGGCTAGGAATATCGTAAATTCAATGGTGTTGTGTTTTGTTTTGTTTTGTTTTTTGGTTTATTTTATTTTGTTTGTTGCTGCGGATTGTTTATGTATTTTTATGTTTATTTCTCGATCGAGTCAATGGTTCTTTATTATAATGCATATCTTTATTCTGTGAATTAAACTATCCAATACAGAGAAATCCCAAGAATAGATCAAGTTTCAAAGTAAACATCAAATTTCCCTCAGTCATTGTTTGGTTTGTGCACTAATAGTAAAGAGTTATCTTCTGATGAGAGTTTTTAGACAAAGCGCCAGTGAACCTGTCTTTATTTTTTTTTCGGTTTGGATTTATTGTTTGTACGATAAAATAGAATAAACATTGGTACGCCTCTTTTGCGTTAACGCTATTCTATATAATTAATACAAACGATAAGCACCATAGAGAAATTCTGCTTTATCGATCTCACTAATTAACGATGCCTATTACTTGCTTCTTTTTTTGTTAAATAAAATATGCAAAATAAATGAATGCTTATTTCAATAAATTACACAACTATTACATGAATATTAACATCACCCGTATAATTGTCCTAGCCTATACACGTAACACATAATTATTAACACTTTTTCCCGCCAATAAACTCAGCCCAACTCTTAACTTCGCCAGGCATTTGTGATTTCGACAACTGTTGCAATTCCTGTCTCTTTCTCTTAAATGCCTCAACAAACAGCACAGCACACTTTCCATCATTTACAAGCGGAATGCCAAAGTCTACAGCCGAACGTCGAGCTAAGTAATTTTCATCTTTATCATCTGGTGCGCGCAATCGAGCCAAATTAAACACAAAATCGATTTTGTTATCCGTGAAAGCTTTATGTAACGTTTTCTTGTCATCAAATGGCAGACCAACAGTAGTAGCTTCAACTCCTTCTGATTTAAGGTACTCTGCCACTACAGGCGAACTCGTATATAATGGATGTCCCAGACCTTGTAGAGTCTTGGCGACATGAAGAAAGTCGGTCTTGTCTGTCAGTTCATCCATTCCAACCAGGATACTGCTCCCTGGCATGGGTACTCTAAAGTTTTGAGTCGACTGGATAGCTGCCCAATAAGCCTCATACTTGTCTTTTCCAAAGCAAGCAACTTCGCCCGTTGATGCCATCTCCACACCAAGGAATGGATCAGCTCCACCTAATCTAGTCCACGAGAATTGCGGTACCTTGACAGCTTGATGGTCCAGTTTTACGTCCATCAAATCGACTGGTGCAGGGACATCTTCATCGCACAGGGCGTGAGTAGCAACATCAATGAAATTGACCCCAAGCACTTTGGAGACGAATGGGAAAGAGCGAGAAGCTCGAAGGTTGCATTCGATTACTTTCAGCTCGGGCTCACTGCCTTGGGCATCTTTCATGATCACTTGCATGTTGAATGGGCCATTGATTTCGAAAGCCTTTGCAACTTTCTCGGCAATTACTCTCAGTCGTTTCATTACAGAGTCTGACAAGTCTCTAGACGGTAAGACAAGTGTAGCATCACCAGAGTGAACGCCAGCATTTTCAACGTGTTCTGATATAGCGTGTACGAGAAGTTGGCCGTCATGTGCAACAGCATCGACATCGATCTCTTGGGCTCCCTCAATAAACTTGGTGATAACCACCGGATGTAGTGGAGACACTGAAGTAGCCTCGAACAGATTCTTATGTAAAGCCTCCTTTGTATGACATACATTCATAGCCGCACCCGATAATACATAAGATGGACGTACAAGAACAGGAAATCCGACCTTGTCAGCAAACTTTTCTGCCTCATCGGCGCTTGTCAGTTCCTTCCATTCTGGCTGGTCAACTCCAATCTTATCCAACGTCTCGGAGAACTTGAATCTGTCCTCAGCCCTATCAATCATGACCGGACTTGTTCCCAGGACCTTGGCATTGTTCTCATGTAATTTCAAGGCGATATTCTGAGGTAGTTGTCCACCTACGGATACAATGACACCTTGAGCATCTTCCAGTTCGTAAATATCCTTGACACGTTCGTAAGAGAGTTCTTCAAAGTAGAGACGGTCACATTCATCAAAGTCAGTTGAAACTGTTTCTGGATTGTAGTTAACCATTACAGTCTTCCTGCCCATCCTTCTTAGGGCACGAATAGCAGACACACCGCACCAGTCAAACTCGACAGATGAGCCAATTCGATACACTCCCGAGCCGAGTACCATTGTACCCTTGTCTGTGAAATCAACGTCATTGGTTGTTGCGTTGTATGTCATGTATAGATAGTTGGTTGTAGTAGGATATTCAGCAGCGACTGTATCAATACGTTTTACAACTGGAATGATATTCAAATTCTTTCTTGCTTTTCGAACATCTTCTTCGGTGGTATTTTTCAAAAATCCAGCAATCTGTGAATCCGAGAATCCCTTCTTCTTTGCCTCACGAAGTAACTCTGGCGATGTCTTTTCAAGAGTTTCGACGCTTTGTAGTTCGCGTTGGACATTGACCATATTGCTCAGTTTGTACAAGAACCATTTGTCTATTTTTGTAAGGTCATGGATTTGATCAACTGTATAATTTTCATCTAGCATGGCTTTGCCTACCGCGAAAAGGCGACGGTCAGTCGGAGCGGATAAAGCATCATTGAGGTCGGCAAAGGGAAGGGCTTGGAAGCCTTTGAACTGTGGGTCTACTTGGCGAATGGCCTATTTTAGAAATGAATTAATATGTACATCCGTGAAATAATATGGGAGATTTTGATAATAAATCGTTATTATATATACATCAAGATTCTGCTTACCTTTTGCAGACTTTCTTCGAATGTTCTACCAATAGCCATGACTTCACCTACGCTCTTCATTTGACTTCCAACATGACGATCCACATACTGGAACTTGGATAAATCCCATCTGGGAATTTTTGTAACAATGTAATCGAGCGAAGGCTCGAAGCAGGCCGATGTTGTTCCGGTGACAGCATTAGGTATATCTTTGAGAGTGTGTCCGAGAGCTATCTTGGCAGCGACAAAGGCGAGAGGATATCCCGTGGCTTTTGATGCAAGAGCACTGGAGGGAAAGGTCGATTAGTTCAAGCATTATCTATAATTATTATCAACTTGCGAGATAAAATTGCAATCACACCCTTCTCACCTACTACGACTCAATCTAGCATTAACTTCGATAACTTTAAATTCCAGACTGTTGGGGTTAAGTGCATATTGTACATTACATTCTCCAACAACACCCAAATGCCTAATGATTTTAATGGCAGCTGTACGCAACATGTGATATTCTTCATCGCTTAGAGTCTGACTTGGCGCGACGACAATCGAATCTCCAGTGTGTATACCCAATGGATCAAAGTTTTCCATATTACAAACGGTGATACAATTGTTCGCAGCATCTCGCACGACTTCGTATTCGACTTCTTTCCATCCTTTCAACGATTGCTCGACAAGAATTTGAGGGGAAAGACTGAGAGATTTGGTGGCAAGAGCGCGAAGCTCGCTGGAATTGTTTGCAAAACCGGAACCAAGACCACCAAGAGCAAAGGCTGACCGGACGATCACAGGATAGTTTACTTTTTCGGCTGCAGCGAGGGCATCGTCGACTGTCTCAACAGCAAAGGATTTTGCAATCGGAATATCGATTTCTGGGTTGAGAGAAAGTGAGTGAGTGAGTGAGTGAGTGAGTGAGTGAGTGAGTGAGAAGGTTGTTAATTGGAGGGACATATGGTTACAAAAAATAAAATTTTTTTTCCATAAACTGACAGTTGAAACAGTTTCACATACCTTCCAGAGCCTTGGCAAACTCATCTCTATCCTCACTAACTTCCAAAGTACGAATTGGCGTACCCAGCACCTGCACACCCAATCTCTGGAATACCCCCATTTTGTTTAAACCGATTCCGCAATTCAATGCTGTTTGTCCTCCAAATGTCAATAGGATCCCATCTGGACGTTCTCTTTCCAGGATATACTCGAGATACTCGACAGTGACGGGAAGAAAGTAGACAGAGTCAGCGAGAGCATGAGATGTTTGAATGGTGGCAATGTTGGGATTTACGAGGATGGTTTCTATGCCGGACTCTTTCAAGGCTTTGATCGCTTGGGAGCCTACGAGTATAGGATGAATCAAATTTCGTTATTACTTTGGGAATTCACGTGATAAACGCGATAAACGCGATAAACGCGATAGACAGAAAGAGAGAGAGAGAGAGAAGTCACACTTACCAGAATAATCGAATTCTCCAGCCTGCCCGATACTCAGTCCACCCGACCCAACGACCAACACTTTCTTGACATTGGGTTTAGGCGGCGCAGGCGATACGTGTGGGCTGCCTTCCGTCTGTCCATTTAACACAGTACTGTAGAAATGATAGCTGGTGCGATAAGTTGTAGTGGGGATTTTACGAAAAGCCGATGTGGATGCAAGAGAAAATGGTTGGTATTTGTAAGTGGATGTTGTGGGTATGCGATGAGTTGTGTTATGTAATTGTCGCTTCGCGTTTACGGATGGTATGCGTACGGAGGGTGTGCGTACGGGTGACGTTGCACGTTGACTCAAAGATAATGCTGTTCGAATTGGGCTTTGGGCACGCTGATACAAAGTTCTGTACATTTTCGGAGTATATGTTTTTGGTTCGGAATATACAA